TGTGATATAAATCAGAAGAATTAAATTCAATCAAGTACAACTTAATGCCATTCTCATTTTACAAATATCTCAGTCAAAATCATATGTCATCGTATCGAGAAATTAAACGGAAGACCTACTCGTTGCTCGCAACGAGATCTCATCTAGTGTATTTTCTATTTCTTACCTTTAAAGACTTGGTTCAGAGAGTGATACGTGGTGATAATGCTGACAGACTGGAAGATTAAAATATCTATTATGTTTTAATCTCTATTTTTTGTCACTCTGCATATTAGGACTATAAGTTTCTGTGTTGTTTAATCGTAACATGTCCTTCACAATGGAATCTATATAAATGTGATTGCAGACCAAAAACAACAATTGACCATACTGATGTGTCGGCCTTAATTGAAAAAATATATAAAAGAATGTACATGAAAGGATTGGGGTTTTGTCGTATCATCAGATGTATATCAATTGTGTTCTGATAAAGATAATACAGAGTTATGGGAAGCAGATAAATATTGCTCTGATGAAAGGAATGGTACCATAATTGTATCATGCGCTTAATTATATTCCCTCAAATGAGGATTCTGAACTTAGGAATATGAATATGCAGAAGGTGTTCAAACGGAAACACAATGACTTAGGGCAAACTGACCATGGTTCGGACGGTTCTTGTTAATTGCTTACAAGCAATAAGCTGTTATTCCGAATGACAGTGGTCTAGACTTTTACTATCAACTGGAAAGTGTTTTGGAACCTTTCGGGTTTTACCGATTGTAAATATATCACCAAAACACTAAATACCTCTGTTCCAACTAGAAGTTAAATTCATCAAGCGATTTTTACCATGGTTCGAACGTATCTGACCAAGGTTCGGACATGATAATATACAGTAAAAAAATGATTTTTTTTTTAAATAACAGATATGCAATATTTACAGGCTCGTAGTAGCGAGAGCCCCCACCCACCCCCACCCTCTCTAAAACAACATTTTACTATTGAAATTTAACATTATAGATGTTCATCGAAAGTCTGCCCCCTTCTTTCGTTGTAGCATTGTTACATCGTAGTGTTTTGGTAATACATTCCGGCGTTTGATAAAATTTCAAACGGAAGAAAGTTTGACCCCCTTTCGAGTTTGGACCATTTTCTTTGGGGTCGTTCGTTTGCTTGATTTTTTTAAATTTTCTTTTCTTGTCAAAGTTTTATCAGATAAGTTGTTTATTTTTTCCTGATTTCTCTCCCAAACCCTTCAAAATCGATAGCACATGCATGTTGATTTCTTTCAAATACTAGTACTACATATAGAGTCGCATGACATAATAAGAAACATCCAATAAGATTTTAATCGTATCTCTCCCATTCCTAGTAAAAATCTGTTGTTTTTTTAGTATTATTTTAAACTAGAACTCTTTTCCTTTATCTCTCTTTCCTCTTTTTGTGTTTTAGTTTGTCGTAAATGACGTATGTTGACAAAAGTTTAGTCATATTTGGGCTCATGTCACAGTTTCAATTTCAGTAAGAAATCATCGCCGTAGTCAGCGGTATCAACTGGGATAACTACCTGCTGAGAGAGCTTCGAGCAACTGACAATCGTTTGAGTTCGTCTGTAATTAATTTGCAAAGAAAAACTCACTGAAAAAATAATATTAAAGAAACAATTTTTATTGCTTGATCACCCCTCCCATTTCCTTCGACCGTAACCTCAAGTATGTCGAAGTTTTCCTCCAAAAAACGAGACTGAAATTGTGGAATTAAAAAAAAATTAAGGAGGCTGGGGGGTCAACAAATTAATCATAAATTAACCACCAGATTTAACTTATTTTTTTACATACGGTATCTTAAGCTGTCAACTATCATTTGGCAAAGAAAAAATTCATATATTTTAGTTTTAAAATTTGACCATTTTTTATATCTTTATATGGAGCTCTTCTTTTAAAGGAGATAAGAATAGTCTTAAAATGGCTGCCACACCCCAGCCTCGTTAACTGTATCTAAATTTTTAAATGGGGGGGGGGGAGAGGCAAACTTTTTTCTCTACCAATTCCTTTAAAAATCCATTTTTTGAGCTTACAATACTATATTTCCTTCATATTACTTTACTTTAGTATAAAGTGGGGGGGGGGGGGGGGGGCAACCAGTCTTTCGGCGAACATTTTCAATAGTAAAAGTATTGTTGGCAAAACAAAAAGGGGGGGGGCAAAAGAGATCTACGATTTAGAAGTCTATGTACGTATTAATTAAAGATGTAACTGGCACAAAAATTATTGCTGCTATTTAGGAATGTGTTTTAAATGCTAGAAATTTAGAAATAATATAGCTTTTATGATTAGACGTCGCGCATGGTATTGAGGTTCTAAATTGCATAACTTGTAACACTGTAAACGACAGGCGTTAGTATTTTGAGTCATTTTATCGTTTTGGCTGGATGGATTTTTCTGTTAATTTGTATAAAGCATCTATAATGTCCAGTGATGACATCCCACAAAATTCATTAATGAATTTCCAAAACTGGCTAATTTTGACTGTTCGTAAAATTGGAAGCATTCCGTAACATGCCGTAATCTTGACAAGTAACAAGAAAAGATTGAATGTTTGGTAATTTTTTTTTTATTAAAGAACAGGTTTTGGTAAAACTAAAGTATAAATGAAATGTGCAAATCAAGAGGTAGTCAAATATTTCTTTAAACCATTATAAGCAAGTCAGAGGAGAGATTGATAGAGTGAATTTGATGTCTAGTCGGTTTTGTTACTACGAAACAAATATGCGTATTTTCGTATATTACGGGACGTATATAATTTATTTGAGCTATATTCTTTTTTTAATGGAAAAACTTATTACAAATAAAATCTTATTTTTAAAATGTGCATACGAATAAAATTTAATATCAAAAGAAATAGTAAAAAGTTGAACATTTTTAAGAAAACGAGAGCAAAAAATTGATGTCTAGTCTTATTTGTTACGCCTTTAGTTTTTAACGTTTTTACGCTTAGATGACGTACGTAATAACGTCAGAAATAGATATTTTGACGTTACAAAATAAGCCCCAATTCTGTGCGAGACGTCTTAATGAATTGGTTAAATTTTCAATTTATCAAACATCATTTACTCAATCAATTGGAATGATTAATTTTATTATATCAAAAAATTGAAAATGCATACATGCATATAATAATACCATATATGTTTGAGGAGCCCATCCTCATTTTGATCGATTGAAAATACTACATAAATGTACATTTAAAATATATACCTGTTTTTATAGCTATACATGAAGCATGATTTAAAAAAAAACAATATTATTATCCGTATGCTTTGAATATCAATCATTTAATTCATTCACTCTCCGATTTTTTTTAAGGGGGCCGAATATAGTTTTATTGTGTGATAACTACAATAGCGAAACTCTTCATTTTCATACCATATATAACTTACATTAATTTCAGTGTACATGCTAAGTTTGTGGGAAATCTACCGTCCAGGTATTTTTGAGGGACCGTCTCAAAATACAGGTACATTTACTATAGGATTATATAGGAAAATGCCAATTTTTAGCACTTTAAAGCAAATTATACAAATACTACAATAGACATTTTGTTCAAGCTATAATATTTGATGAGTAATACTATATTATACAATATATAAAAGAAGCACAAAATTCTACCGTCTTGTTACCAGAGGGGGCATCTCAAAATGCAAAAAATTAGAAAATTTTAGTATTTTTATAGAGTATTACAAAAATTGACGTACACAATGGATTCACCTGAAAACATAAAAATTTTGGAAATATATATTCTCAAATTTCTATTTTTTAAATTTCAAGAGCCTATGATAATTATTACTTTCTCTTTAATAATATTTTTATTACTCCTTTATTTAAGAGCTACAGATTATCATAACGTCTAAAACACATATGTGCAACGACGTCAACCTACCTATCAATTGCAAAATCGGTTAAAAAATCAGTTATATCATATTGTAATTACATTTTTATACCTATAATTTCTTAATTTTGTTTAATTTTAATAATTAAGCGAAAAAAATTGCATTAAAACAGTAAATTTTATACGCTTCATTTTACTATGATGCGCGAAATATTGCGCAATGGAAACTATAGTCGGCCCCCTTAAAGGCGATTTGATTATAAGGAGCTTGAACTTTGGTTTGAGCAATGTACGAATCATAGTCATCTGGTGTACGAACCTAGGTACATTTAATTTTCAGACTTCGAGGAAGATTTCACAACAAATATAGAAAATAACTGAAACAATTTTTTGCTGATAAGAAGGATTAATCACTTAGAAACGCAATAGAAATAATTCATACTGGTTTAAGTAGAGTCTCATTCATTTGATTTTACTTGCAAGTGTTTGTTTACTTTTCTCTTAAACTGCTGAAGTAAAACAAACTACACATGCCCTAAAATCGTAGCGCCACCACCAAGTATTGAGTCACGTGATAAACACGGGGTCTTGACTAAATAAAAAATCTGATCGCTAAGATTGATATATTTCCGTATTATGCTGAAAACAGATTTTTTTAACTGAAAAAAAAAATAACGGTAAAGTTGTCCGAACCCAGGTCAATTTTTTTGTCTGTCCGAACCATGGTCAGTTTGCCCTAAACCTAAACTTCCTTTAAATGAGATACTATAAAACTTTACTTTTTTGTTTATATTATTCCGCGTTAAATTCCTTAAGATATCTTTCTTCTGAATGTAAATTTTTTTTTTCATCAATGACGTTTTAAATATGTAATAAATAATATGAAAAAAAAAAGGTTAATTGACCTGTTTGAAAACTTCTGTGACGGCAAAATTGACGGCTGAAAGGTAAATGTCTCTTTTTTTTACTTACGTAGGCACGGTTTCAGTTGATTTCTTCATGATTTATAAGAAATGTTTGTTTGTATAATCAGTCGTTTAATTTTTGTTGCACCGTACAGTGAAAAACACCAGTAGACCACGTTAAATGTTTGGACGAGTTGTCTTTCTTAGGAATTGTTCGCATTATGGCCAGGAATTCAAAGGAAGTTACACGCAGCCAAAACGTACAGAGCTGACAAGGTAATTTTCTTGAATCATTATCAAAAAGAAATATTACTACTCGTCAAAAAAACATGATATGATGCATCGTTAAATAGAAGTGTAAAGGAAATATCTACATTCAGACGTGTAATGAATTAAAACAATCGATAAAAATTGGGGAAAGGTTAAACCGAAAGTAGGAAAAAATGATAAAGAGTATTAAAACCATTGTACCAAAACTGAGTCAAAGTCACATAAAATATGGCTGTAAAAACAATTAAGTATATTTTCAATTATAATAAATGATTCTAGTTCCTTATTATAGGTCATAAAGTGATACATACATATATATTATGAGAGAGACCAATGGAATTGTAAAGGACAGATGATACAAACAAACTTTTGTCAAAAAATATGAAAATAACAACCTTAAGTCATATACATGTTATTTAAATGAATCATCAGCATTTCACATAAAAAATCTGATAAGTCAAAATTTTTATTTCGTGGATAACGGCACCATTTGCCGGTGGAAAGCTACAATTTTTGCCCAATACCCGGCACTAAGCTCATTGAGGAGTAAGGGAACTTTTTCATGCCAATATCTACTGCGATAAGGGACCTAGGCCTTATTCTAATGATAGGGACAGTATTTATGCTTTAATAATAAAATTAGATTTGGGGAATATTTTGAACATTAAATACCTAAAAAAAAAAAAAAAAGATCTCTAGTGTAAAGTTTCATAGTAAATCAAATTATAAAAGTATTTACTAGAGAAAACTATGCTTAAACTTAAAGTTAATACATGTAGTATTTTGTATTTTAATGTAATTGTCTTCATTTAATCTGACTGCTTCAAAAGTGAATGAAATGTCATATAATAGATACTTCTTTTTTTACCAGACTACATTTAGCTCTGCGTTTTAAGGTAATGTTATTTTGAGTAAATTAGAACTGTGACACATTTTTGAGCCCTGAGCCCTGAATATATTTTTATTTCAGACGAAAATGTAATTTTGCCTTATCTGAGCGTTTGCGTATGCTTGTTAGCAAGAATAACTATCCCACAATACAAGGTAACTATTGAGCATAGAAATTATTATAAAGTTGAAATATTGATTTTTTTATTAATGCATACATGTAATATACAAAAATTTAACCCCCCCCCCCCCCCCCCCAAAAAAAAAACCAAAACATTTAAATATTTTCCCAAGAGTTAAGTAAGTAACAACTAAGTCTTCACGTTTAAATTCATTACTTTGAATGTACAATAGTAACTGATCTGTCAGATGGTTTTAAATACAATAATAAAACTTTCACTGCAAATCTGTCTATATTTAACTTTTTTTCTTTTCGAGTGAAGATTACAATGGCTTGCAGTAAATACAAATCAACAAAGGAGACAACCCACGCCGCCCGTCTGTCTAGGTTGTTGTTGGATCCATGCACATATATCTTCAGGGACCTTCTCAGGAGCTTCATACCTGAAGCCCAATTTCCTCATATCCTCAGAAACTTCGTGGCTACTTTAATACCGATTATCAACAAAGACCAAAGAAACTTACTTTATCCTCGTGCAGGGCAATACTTGGGGACATATGAGGACTTTGATCTTTCTTTGTTATATATTTTGTTGAGAAATATATCAGGGATACCTCCCCACAAGAACGGATGGGGTAAACAACCAGATCCAACTGATCGATCCCTCTCTGCCAACATTGATCGCACCAGAGAAATACGAAATACCTATTGTGGACATGTACCTAGAGTAACACTTCCTGAACAGGATTTCCAGAGAATCTGGCAAGATACGACAGTTATAATCCGTGAGCTCGAGGGAAGCCTAACAGCAGGATGTACAACGTATACAGATGCAGCCAAGCTGATAAAAACCGACACGATGGACCCAGAACAAGAAAATAAATATTTGGATATTATTGATAAACAGCATAAAGTTTGGGAGGATTTTAAAGGTAATTTATTTCAATTTTCAAAATACGCGTATTACGATTCATAGCAGAATAATTAAAATATAATCTGGGAGGAAATATTATACATTAGTTTCTCCAATATCAATTGTATATTAACTTCCTTTTCCACTTGGTTTATTTTTCATTTATGTAATAAAATAATTGGTATAGTATATTATTTAAGATACAACAAATGTGATAATAAAGGAACAAGAGAAAATACAACAAGAACAACAACTTCTGCTAGTGGAACAAGACATACTGAAGTCTGATCTACAGCAACAAGGGCAAGAAATAAGGTCTCAGCAACACAGACATGAAAATGAGCTAAAATCTGCGCTGCAAAAACAAGAAAGCAAAATTATATGTGAGCAAAAAAGACTAGATAAAAAGTTTAAATCTGCGCTCCAAAAACAAGAATTGGATCTAAAGTCAGAGATACAGCTAAAAGGAATGGAACTTTACACCGAACAAAAAACGCAGAAAATGGGATTAGAAATGATGACAGACCGTCTTGCAATGTTAGGTAAAACATTTTTTTATTGTGAGAGATAAAAGATTTATATACTCTAATTTCTTGTAAATGAATTTAATTACATTAAATTAATATTTATTATATGTAGTAATCAATTTTTTGTACCTTTTGTTGTAAACAGAAAAAAATCCTTACTGTGAAAAAAACAACATTCTGGGTAAGTCATTTCATTTTGTCTCTTGTATTGTTATTTCAAAATGAATCTTTTGCGCCATTCTCTTTATACCATTTAGTGATTTTTGTTTTCAATTTCGTATTTATTATTCGAATTTTAAAATATTTCATGCATTGTATGATAATTGTGATTATTAAAGTTACGTGTATACATATGTATGCAGTGCCACATATATCATTTTGAAACAGTAACAAATATTATAGGGTTATTGAACTAATATTGGTGAATATTCAATTTGGCACAAGTTGGCTGTACAAATGCATGAATTGGATTGCGAGATACAGCTAAAAGGAATGGAACTTTACACCGAACAAAAAACGCAGAAAATGGGATTAGAAATGATGACAGACCGTCTTGCAATGTTAGGTAAAACATTTTTTATTGTGAGAGATAAAAGATTTATATACTCATAATTTATAATAATTTAATTACATTAAAAAAATCAAATTAATCATTTTTTGTACCTTTTGTTGTAAACAAAAAAAATCGCTTACTGTGAAATTACTCATTCTGTAAGTGTTTCATTTTGTCATCATTCTAAAATGACTTTTCAATTACCGATGCGTTATGATTTGCTTATTTATGTTTTAATGGGTCTAATACGTATTAAATTTTTAATGAATAATTTATTTTTGATCTCTTTGAATAATACAACTTTCACATGTTACCTTGATGTAAAGCTTCTTTGTCACATAATGTTTTCAAAGGCGCAGATGGGAAAAAATCTAAATATTGAACATGAACTACTTTCATTTTATGTTTACATCACGGTGCGTTTGATATTGAATATTTCAAGCAGTTTCGGAATCTTAATTTTGTTAAAACAAAAGTCATATACGTAATACATATATATTGCGTGAATAAATATGTTTTCTAATCAGTTGAAATGGTGTATATGTTCACGAGGCTTATTCAAATTTTTATTTATTTCATGAAGTATATACATATAACAACTATTAAGGTAACCTGTTTATGTATGCAGTGCTACATAGATTATTTTAAAGCAATAACAGAGTACATTTCCATATATTTTTTTCAGACAATACATCAGCCATTCTTCAAACTCATAAATCGCGCAATGTGTACATTCGGACATCAGCCGTAAAAAGAATTATAGAAAAACTCAAGGAGAAAAAAATCCTCGTTCTAACAGGAAGAGCCGGATGTGGAAAGACAACCACAGCTTATCAAGTGATGCTTGAGCTGTCAGAAGAATCTTCAGAGCCACCCTATACACCCGTACTTATAGATTCTCCCGATGAGTGGAACAAAGTTATTAACCGTAATCAGCGATCTATTGTTTTCCTTGATGATTTTATTGGATCGACAAATTTAGATACAGGAGCCTTTGATAAATGGAAGTCGAAATTTGATGCAGTATCTGCATGTACTACATATGGACAAGTTTTAATGATGATTGGATTAAGAAAGAATCTTTTAGAAGACGTAGAGAAGTATGACACTCGAGGCTTTTTTCGGCAAAAAACAATCATTGACCTGTCCATAGAGAAGAATTTCACATTTCAAGATAAAGAGAAAATGTTTGCAGAATATTATGCAAAGTGCTCTTTTAAAGATTCAATTAACTTGTGTGTAGAGGAAAGATACCGTATAATAGATACTGATCCATATTATGGATTTCCTTTGACATGTTATCAATACTTTTCTAGGCACGAATTCTATCAACTTGGTCTTTCCTACTTTTTACGTCCAAATGAGTTGCTGTACAATGCAATAAAATATAAAAGATCAATATAAAAGGTGTCATATTGTGTTCTATGTTATTGTTTTATACAAGAACATATTACCTGAAGTCCCATCATGCTTACGATTTGTTAAAATTTGTGAAAAAAATTGAAAATTTCTAATTTCACTGAGGTACAGTATTGCAAAAGCTTTGTCATGATATATGGTGTGTATTACAATGACATAAAAACAAAAAACAATTTCTTTTCACATATCGAAACAGTATCAGAGATTTTTGGTGTCATGACCTTCTCGGTGTGATTTCATAATAGAACCAGTATAAAAACATTCTAATGAATTAATTCGTTATATGAAAACTATCGTAATTAAACCTGGTGAAGTTGTGTTTTACATGGGTGGGAGGACACTTTGAAAACTTGGCTGAAAAATCAACTTCGTAGTGATGATGGTGAAACAACTGGACAAGCGTATCATTTTGCTGCATTTTTCAGCATCATGTGTGTACAGAGGTTTCTAAATTTTTATCCGTGTTGTTGAGAGAACAGATGAAGGATATTCTGTGCTCCAGACAGCAGATGCTAGGGCTGAGGTTTGGCGACCGCTTCCCACGTTGTTTAGAACGCGTGGTACAATCTGATGAAGAAGTCTTACCATCTGGCCTATCATTACATTCTTATCCTTGCAAAGCTATGTTTTATATAAAGGAGAAGATGGATTTGATCAAGTTATCTGTATCTTACATGTACTTAAGAGAACAAAGTGTGTAGCCAATGATTTACTTATGGAAATCGACAACTTTGGAAACGGTATTGCACATTACCTAGTGATTTATAACTATCATGATATTCTTAATCACCTTCTCGAATATAACAAAGAAATTGTCTTTCACCGTAATTAAACTGACCTCCCAACAACGCTACACATTGCTGCATATCTTGATAAGCCAAAAATTCTGATGGCATCCGTTATATGGATATCGTAATGAAACCCCACTTCATAGTTGTGTTTTACATGACACGTAGGTCAAGATATAATTCTGAAGATCAACATAACCGAAAAAAATTTTTGGTGCTAGATCCATTATGACGTCATAATCTATTCAGGTTATCTTTTCCTACTTTACGGCTTTAGCAGAATTATGTAGAAGAATATGAAGTATTTACATGTCATTCAATTTGAAATCATATGAAAAGTAAACCTGGATACTTATACTAAATTTGATATTGATTTAAAGAAGAGGCCATGAACATACTAATTACCGTTCTCTGAGAGATTTAGGCAATCTGATACATTTCCTTTGTCAATACGAAAAAACTGTGTACCCATGTTCATGACTGGTTTTCTTAATTTTTCATTGAAAATGACAGTTTAAAATACAGTTTTTCATCTTGTTTACCGACAAATTATCCAATATAACAAAGAAATTGTCTTTCAAATACACCTTTTTTTGACCAAACTAAAGTTGTAAAGCATCAATAAAGGAATTTATTTCTCAAGTTTGATAAAGCTGTAGGCACCTTTTATTTACTAGATCTTGACCTTAAAAGTGGAAAGAAATTTTGCAATAGAAAAATGGAATGCTATTGTTCATACAATGAAGAAAAAACTTGTTGGAAGGAAAAGGGAGAAGAAATAAAGGGCATTGAACTAAAATGCATTGCACTTGTGAGTGTTCAATTTCGAAGCCATTGTGATTTTCAAGAAGTGAGTTGTTTTCTCCAGAGTAAAGGTATTTAAATTTTGATGAAACTGCTAATAAGTATCTAAATTAAAGTTTAACATGATTTTAAGGGATATATTTGACAACCTACCACCTTAGGACATTGCTATAGATATTACAAGGAAATCCCCTTCACTTTTGCGTTTCACTTGGTTGGCAGATGTAATTCTAGGAACCAATAAGCAAATAAGGACAACAAATAATTGGATATGGTGCATCCTGCATATATCAGTCCTTTTTCTTTGTTGCATAACTTCATAAATCTCGTACAAAATGTTGAAGAAAGAACATCTGAGTTTTATTCATTACTCCAGACAGCACTGCTAGGACCACTGCATACAAAAATCCTCGAACAAATAAGAATGCAATGAATTGTGCATTCATTTAAATGCGTCATATACCCAAATTTCAATCCTTGACGTTTTAATTAAATAACAGCTAGTAAAGAATATTGATATTAAATTACGTCATAATATCACAGAAAAAAAATTCAGCTAAATGAAAGAATCGATTCACTAGAAGAAAATATCTTCTAAAGAGAACTCTCCTCTGCCGTTTCCTCTGCCAACTCCTCACAAAACTGGTCTTTAACAGAAGGGGCCCCAAAGGGGGAACCCTTAGAGAGCCTCATACCTCTAGGGGATAAGATCTTCGCTGTTTTCCCGACAGAGATAGATCTAGTTGTGGTAGGAGTGATGTGCCTTTGAATTGAGGATCAAACCAGATGTGTGGGCCTGGCAAGAGATTCCTCTCCTAAAGAACTGACTACTCGTACTTCTACCACTGATAATGTCTTCTCTCAGAATGACAATAAATAATACAGGTGACTCTCGATGGCTCGAACTCCGATCTCTCGAAGTTCTCTATCTCTCGAAGTGAACCTCCGGTCCCGTTTTTTTCCTCTATATAACTAAGCAAATTTTCTCCTGATCTCTCGAACTTCCATCTCTCGAAGTTCTCTATCTCTCGAACCAAAACCTGGGTCCCGTTACACATATTTCATTGAATTTTACTCTCTATCTCTCTAAGTTTTGATTGCGCGTGTATACACGCCAATCAAGCGTAAAATTGATGCAGTCTGGACTTACCTGGAAACCGTGAAGGCCTTGGGCTGGCATGGATGTGTTAATTGGGTGTTTACATAGATGACACTACACCTGTGGGTCGTCCGTGTGTTGTTATAATTAATTGGTTATTATTCACGGGGTAAATTAAAAACAAATTCACAACTTATCTTGAATTGAAACCGAGACGATAATTTTTTTTAATTAATTTATAGATGTTCGTTTTAATAGTAAGTTCTCATAGACTATGAACTTTCATTTTGATTATATAGAGTCTACATAATCCCAGTATGGCAATTATTGCACTAGAAAGTTCTTTCTCAAGGAATGAATACCGATTAAGAAAAATCTGGTGAACACTGGTGAAGGACCCGATCAAGCCGCGGAATAGCCAAACCTACAATTGCTATTCGGGTTTCATGTAATCATGAAATAGGAACAAATAAATATTGAATCTTTAAGAATTCGTTTTATTTATTTTAAATACAATCACTGCTGTTGAAATCAAGTAAATTACCTGTAAAATACGATTGAAAACGTGCAATGACATTATTTACATATACTTCCGGTATCTGTAAAAGTAGAACTTCGATGATCGGAACTGAAAATTCCGGATTTTAATTACTTTCCATCTCTCGAACCCCTCGATCTCTCGAACTTTTCTCGCGGTCCCTTGAACTTCGAGAGATCGAGAGTCACCTGTACTATAAATCATTTCAGTAAAAATATAATTAAAGAAACACTTAATTAAGCTGACAAAACTTTACCCTGGTGATAAAGGCAGTGTTTGACTAGATGACTTACATGTCTTCTGGCGGTTTGTCTGTGAGGTGAGGTTATTCTGTTTTGGTAGATCTATGAATTTTTCATTTGGAACAGGAGATCTGGACAGAAAGAAGGTTTTATTCTATGACATTTCTATTATTTACATTTAACGAGCTGTACACTGAAAACGTAATTAAGTCACGTGGACCTAAAAAATGATCAATTTTATTGTCCTACAGATGAAGGTGCAGATGATAAATAACACTTTTTTTCTTTGAAAAGGGCGAAAAGAGGAAAAGTTAAATGTTGAAAAATCAGTAAAATAATATAGGTTGGTTTTACCATAATCATTTTGCATTTCCGCATTATATTTACCTGGCTTATGGTATTCTTGTAAGGTTTATATTACATGTACACTAGTCTTGTAGCATTAAGCTAACATAATTCTGAAATTGTTTTCATCTTTTTGCATTAAATGAATATGATTTGTCAATACTTGTTATTTTAGAAGCATTAACTTACATTTTCCAAATCAATGAGTTACTTATCTATTTTTTAAAAGCCTGTGAGGTGAAATTAACTCTCCTCCAAAAATTAAAAAATATGTTTGTATCATCTGTCCTCAACTCATTTTGACGAAAAATTATAAAGAACAGTTCGATAGTCTATAGTGACTGATGGATAGTCACCCGCGAGCTGATCTTGAATAGTTATTGTTGTTATGATAGATTCCGATAGTCAAAGTGACTACCATTTCGTATTAGTATGACTTTTCTTTATTTATATATTGTAAGGCATTTTGGCGATTTTGAATTCATAAGGACTATGCGAATCAAATGATTTTGATAATCACGTTTAAATTATTATACAACAAATATTGGAATAGAAACTCCGAATAAAACATTCTTAAAGAATCTCATTTTATGACTATAATATGATTATTACTTTGATACATTTACAAATATTATGAAATTATTTTTATGCACCTGTAAACAAAGTTTCTGGGTAAATAGTTTTTTGTCGTGTCCGTCCGTCTGCCTAGCTGTCTCTCTGTCTGTCTTTCTGTTTGTCTGCAAAATCTTTAACCTTGCCCATAACTTCTGATTTAGTGGAGCTATGGCATTCATATTTCACAGGGTGAATTCTTGTGACAAAACCTTTCTTTGGGTATCACTAGATTTGACCCTTTGACCTTGGAATTTGACCCACTTTTACACAAAAAAATTGAACTTTTACTTCGGCCATATCTTTTGAACAGGAGATACCAGGACATTTATACTTGACATATGCACTCTTGTTGAAACACCTATCATTCGATACCAACAACTTTGCCCTTTTGTCCTTGACCTTGGAGATTTCTGTACTTGTGAAAAACTTAAACCATGGCTATAAATGTGAACAAAAAATGCTAGGGATTTCATACTTCACATATGTAATTCTCATGAAGAAACCTTTCATTGAAAACCAAGAGTTTTGACCCTTTGACCTTGCCCTTGGAGTTT